GGCGACCGGGCGGCGAAATTGGACGTTGTTAGTGGGTCACCGCCGTCAGTTAGTGAAAAGAGCAGTGCTACACTTTACAGGACAGACGGGAAAGGGAAACCATATCTCTGCATTATTTCTGTTTAATTAAAAGTGTCATCAAACACTTTGTGTTCAGACTAATAAACCAAGCAGGGATGAGGAAAGAATGTTTCTTTGTTCTCGTCTCTAGAAGCAGTGGCAATATTTTAAATTAATAACTGTGGTAATTAAGAGGTCATCTATAGATCAACCCGATACCTCCTATTTCCAAGTTCACCGGGGTCAACATTTACATTAAGTCATTTGTGGTCAATAGAGTCCAATGAATTCTGCCTTAATAAATCAGGGAAATCAATCTTGAATATCGAGTAGACTTCTATATGTTTACCAAAGACTACTAAGACAAGTGGGGCTGCAGAGATGGGAGTCCTCTGGGTTTGCGACCGGAGAAGCAGCTCGTAGGGGAAGGGAGAAGCTGCAGGTCAACGCGGGGAGAGGTGGCGGGGGCTGCCCCCGCCTTCGGCCCCGCTTACAGCCCCAGCCCCTCCCGGGCTGGGGAGCGGAGCAGCCCCGGGGCCACCTGTCAAAGCAGGCAAGCTTTGTCGGGCTTTGCAGGGGCCAGGGCGGGAAAGGGGGGGAGTCCGCCGGGAGCCCCGCCGCAGACGCCCGGCCACGGGGCTTTCCCGCGCTCCGGAGCAGTCCTGGGCAAGCAGCGGCGCAGAAGCCGCAGTCCGTTGCAGTGACCCGCAGCTTAGAGGAGAGGAAATTAAGCTGCGAAAAGATAAACATTATTTCAAGTCGGATTTGAAGGATTAGGGCTTGTAATAATGAGTATTAGGCCCTTTCGAAGGGTTCTTGCAAGGCGACTCTTCCGCCCCTCCTCTCCCACCGGAGGGGACAGGTATTATCTGCCCTGGGAACAAAGCACAGGTTCCCCACGCGTGTCCGTAGCGGCCGGGCCGGGCCCCGGGCCGGGCCCTGCTCCGCTCCCCGCCGTGTCCCGGCCACCTCCGCCCAG